CAGTCCTGTGGCCACTGCTGAGTTTTCCAAATTTGCTGGCATATTGAGTGCAGCACTTTCACAGCATCATCTTTCAGGATTTGAAATAGCTCAACTGGAATTCCATCACCTCCACTAGCTTTGTTCATAGTGATGCTTTCTAAGGCCCACTTGACTTCTCATTCCAGGATGTCTGCCTCTAGGTGAGTGATCACACCATTGTGATTACCTGGGTCATGAAGATCTTTTTTGTACAGTTCTTCTGTGTATTCTTGCCACGTCTTCTTATACTTTTAAAAAACTTTTCTTAAATTACAAAAATTTTATTCTTTGTGTTACTTAGAAAAGTAAAATTCTTGTTTAAATTTACTTTGCCTAAGAGTTTGGTATATATTGTCCTAGTTACAATGAGCTTTTAAATGACTAAACTATTTTATCACATATATTTACTGTAATTTAATCAATCTCCAATACTGAGCATTTAAGCTATTTACAATATTTCAATATTAGTAAGTGTATTTTGCAGATTCTTAAACATAAATCTTTGACTCCTTCAACAAAATCATGCTAAATTTATCATATTCTTGGGTTTCCCACATAGCACTAGTGGTAAAGAACCCATCTACCAATGCAGTTTCTTGTCCCTGGACTAGGAAGTTTCTTGTCCCTGGATTAGGAAGATCCCTTGGAGGAAGGCAAGGCAACCCACCCTGGTAGTCATGCCTGGAGAATCCCATGGACTGAGAAACCTGGTGGGCTATGGTCTACAGGTTTGCGAAGAGTCAGACATGACTGAAGCAACTTAACATGCACACACACAGTCTTATAAACATATTCTTATTGAAGTCACATGAATTTCATTCTTTTTTTTTTTTTTTTTTGAATTTCAATTCTTATTTGAACCTCAGCTTCTTTATCTGCAAAAAAAGGGGGGGCTTGGACAGAGCTCTAGTATGTTCTAACTATAAAAAATTCAAGTTCTAAACATAGCATATCTTTAATAATTGGTTGAAACAACTCATGAACTCTTAGAAGAAACAGTTCAGTCCAGTTGCTCAGTCGTGTCCAACTCTTCGACCCCATGAATTGCAGCACGCCAGGCCTCCCTGTCCATCACCAACTCCCGGAGTCTATCCAAACCCATGTCCATCCAGTCAGTGATGCCATCCAGCCACCTCTTCCTCTGTTGTCTCCTTCTCCCCCTGCCCCGAATCCTTCCCAGCATTAGGGTCTTTTCCCATGAGTCACAACTCTTCTCATAAGGTGGCCAAAGTATTGGAGTTTCAGCTTCAGCATCAGTCCTTTCAATGAACACCCAGGACTGGTCTCCTTTAGGATGGACTGGTTGGATCTCCTTTCAGTCCAAGGGACTCTCAAGAGTCTTCTCCAACACCACAGTTCAAAAGCATCGATTCTTCGGTGCTCAGCTTTCGTCACAGTCCAACTCTCACATCCATACATGACTACTGGAAAAACCATAGCCTTGACTAGACAGACCTTTGTTGGCAAAGTAATGTCTCTACTTTTAAATACGCTATCCAGGTTGGTCATAACTTTCCTTCCAAGGAGCAAGCATGTTTTAATTTCACGGCTGCAGTCACCATCTGCAGCGATTTTGGAGCCCAAAAAATAAAGTCAGCCACTGTTTCCCCATCTATTTCCCATGAAGTGATGGGACCAGATGCCATGATCTTAGTTTTCACATGAGATTTATAATTCACACCTTTCAAACGAGTACAAATAGTGTGTGTATGTGCATGTGTTGTGCATGTGGGAAGGGGACACACAGATCATTCAGAGGAATTATCTTTTTGGAATATCAATTTCCCTTCAGAATTTAGGGACAAAGTTTGTTGGTTTTTCCTCTTAAATAGATTAGAATGAAATACAAAAATCACACTAATTTTTAAGATAAAAACAAATCATTTAAAAAAATGTCATATATATGAGTGTGTTCCATTAAGCTCTGCCCCAGAAGTCAGGATTTATTCCCACTTTTATTAGGAAAGGATGTAGGGCTCTGATTAATTGAATATGAAGAAAACTTGCCAGTGAACTCAAACCATTTCAACATCGGTATTACATTTTAAGAGTAATTAGGACATTTGAAATTGTCTTTGACCTTGGAATCTAAACACATATTCACTTCACTCCCTCATTTGAGAACTTGTCAATAGGTTAAGGTTTGTTTGACTTTACTAAATCAAACCTGTCCATCTTGCTTTTCTACAATTTTATGCAATTTCTCTATTATTTCTTTTAAAACCAAAAGGCCATTGTCTATACAGCAAGTCTAGCCTTTTTAAACATACTCAGGGATACAAATCAATATGATTAATACCTATTTCTTATTCATTACTTTATAATTTTGCATCCAATGAACAGTTTTACTTTTGAAATCCTCAAACCTGCTTCAAATGCTCTACATAACAGATTGTGAATTTGCTTTAAAAACAAAAGTTTCTAACAGACAAGATTTCAAGGTTTAGGCAAAAATAACTGAACCAAAAGCAGCTGGATTTTTCCAACACAAAGATTGAAAGAAAATCTGATATATGAAAATCTGAATTACAGCATTTCAAAATCCAAATGGACTAAAAATCCAGTTTTGTTAGGGGCAACACTGACTGAAAAATGCCCATCCTGGCCAGGGACCACAGTAACCATTTGCATGAGTATAATAAACATGGAACTAACAAGCCACCACCAATTAGAATTCAGGAAAGGTCAAAAGGAGACAAAGAGTCCATATGTCCTACCAACATCTCAGAATCCTCCATGCTGGAATCGTTCTTGCCTGAGTGATGCCTGCGTCACCAGGAAGGACCTTGAGTGACAATGGTTGGCCAGAGACGACCCTGAAACTAATCCTATCACCATAAAACCCCAGACTGTGGCAGCACAACCCTCCTGGATTCCCTTACACGCTGTTCTCCACCCAGGGCGCCCCTTCCCAAGGAAGTCTCTTGCTTCCTCATCATGTACGTGTCCTCTAACAATTTCTGCATGTTAGACAAGAGCCCACTCTCAGGCCCTAGGAGAGGGTCCCCCTTCCTGCAACAGTTTTTCTTATACAAATTATTTGTAGGAAGGCAAATAGCTATTAAGGGCAAACTTTGCCAGGGACTTTGTTTTCAACTCCAAAATTAAAATGCAGTGTTCAAAGGACACCAAAGGATGTGCAACACGAAGTACATTCAAAGTAAAAAATCTAAAAAAATAGCTCTGTACTTCAACTCCCTATATGGAGAGAGCAAATAACTTTTCTTTACTTTTCTTCTTTCTTTAATCCATTTATTAACTTTTTAAAATTAACTTTTTGAAAACGGCTGCTCAGTGGCCGAAATTGGCACGGAGTTACAAAAGGTCACCAATATAGTCCTACTGGGACTCATTTCACCAAGAGCGTCTCTGAACGGCCTCATCCCTCCAACTTACTCCGTAAAGGGAACGAACTCGCAGAACGTCAAGGGACTAACAGCTTAAGAGAACCTTCACTCTCGGTTAAACTTTTCTCCATGAGCATTCGGGGACCCGGCTCCTTTCCTCAACGGCTGAGGAGGCTGAGGACGGGTGGTCTGGGCAGGGTGCTCAGGCAAGACTCCGGCTCTGGAAGTGACCTTAGTGACCCCTCACTCCACGGCCCCGAGTGGACCAGAAATTAAAATAAAATGTGTAAAACAGCGACCTGAGGTAACTCTGCAAATGAATCTGCGGTATAACATCGGACACTGTGAAACTCGCTGACTAGAGGAACTCGGCGACCAAACAGGCTACTCTAACCCGGTTAACGACCACACCCTTATTGCCGGCGGCCTGACCCGGAAGTGCTCTGCGGCGGCCTCGGCGGTGGGGGCGGGGCTCGGCCAAACCAGCGCACACGCGCGCGCTCCCCGCGGAACTCCCGCGGGCTGCTCGGCGCTCTCCCGGAGGCGCGCCCGAGCCGCCGCGGCCGCCGCCAACATGGCCGAGACGAGCGAGGAGGTGGCGGTACTGGTGCAGCGGGTGGTGAAGGACATCACCAATGCCTTCAGGAGGAACCCGCACATGTGAGTCGCGCGCCGACGGTGCCCCCGCCTCCGCCGCTTGCGGGGGTCGTCGGGGACGGGCGGGGGCAGGGTCAAGCCTGGAGCTGACCTCGGATGGCGGGTGCTGGCCCGCGCCCTCCTCGCTAGAGCCGATGGAACCTGGTCAGTCCCCGACCATTGTCGGCCGCCGCAGGGCCAGCTTTCCGCTACCGGAACGCGCTCGCGGGCGAATCCTTAGAAGTGACCTCGGAAAATCAAATCGTAGTGACTTTGTTTGGTTCTCCTCCCTGCCACCCCTTTCCCAAGAGTTCACGAAACTCGATAGATTTCACCCGTGTGTCCACGTCCTACATCCGTTTCAGGCACTCGGTGTGGTCTGTTCTGTGCTTTGTTAACACAGCTCTTGAGGTTCATCCCGGACCTTGGTAAGAAGGGGTTACCGATCATCTTCTTCTCTATGGGGCAGAAACCCCTCAGTTTACTAGCTCAGGGTAGTTTGAGGCTGCTTTTGACTTTGGCCTCACCTGTCCTAAGAGTATAGAGGGATTTCGATGAAGCGTTTTGTTTCGCAGGTGAACAGGGCATTCTCAAGAGTGTGGCTTCAGTAGGTGCAGGTTGAGTGGTGTAAAGTAGATGAAAGAAACCTTGACACGTTTTAGCATTAGTTGATTCATAGTTGCAGGGAGCATATTCATTCTTTTTTATTATTCAAACGCTGCTGCCCTCTTTAAGTAGGACACCACAGAAACTGGCACATGCATCTTTCCCCTCCTTCCTTTCCATTTTACTTAAGAGTTCTCCGGGAAGATCCCAGAAGAGACTGTATTCGCTCTGATACTTCTGCTTTTATGTAACCAGAAAAAAGGAAAGTATTAAAGGAGAGATAGATCTACATTATACAGAAGAATAATGAAGAACCAAGAGTGTAGCTCTTTTCTTGTCCTTCCTTTTCTCTCAAAAGAAGGAACCAGGGAGTCCAGTTTTATTAATACATTATTTTCACTTTATCTAATTGCTTATGGAGTTTTTTTATATATATTTTGTCCTTTAAACTGGAACGCATGAATTATTCTTTTTAAGCATTCTAACTCCTTAAGTTTTTTTGCTTAAAAAGAGATACCAAACCTTCATCTAAATGAAATGTTCTTTTCTTTCAAGGTGATGCGCTCAGATGTCTTGTTCCCTTGGGGCACACAGTTGGAGACGTGCAGCTGTGCCTCATTAAAAACAGGACACTGCTGGCCTCAAAACACACCTGCCACCTCTGACAGCATCCACTTCCTTTCCCCTTGTGACTGCTGCCTTTTTCAGAATGAGAGTGTTTGGAATGATTTCCTGGCAGTAACCATAGTGGGTACTGGGCCCTCTAAAGAATGCTTTGATGCCTTGTATATTAGTCTTTCAGTTCCTTTTTGAGAATGAGCACTTTATTGCAAATAAGAGGCGACATCCTCAAGAAAAAAAAAGTTGGACAGATGAAGGGCCTGTTTTCTTATCATTTGGGGTTACTTTTCGTAAAAAATTAATTTCTTATTAGGAGGAGGTTAGAGAGAAGTCTAATGTACAGTATTCATCTTAGTTTGAAAGACCTGAGGTGGAGTGTTCCTTGGCCTGACAGGTTGACACAATGCAGTTTGGAACACATCCCAATTCTTCTGGATCATATTTATTGAAGCTTTTTGTTATTTTAGTCGCTAAGTTGTTTAGGACTCTTTGCAACCCCATGGACTGGATCCTGGCAGGCTCCTCTGTTCATGGGATTTCCCAGGCAAGAATACTGGAGTGGGTTGCCATTTCCTTCTCCTGGGGATCTTCGTGACCCTGGGATTGAACCCGAGTCTCTTGTATTGGGAGGCAGGCATTCTTTAGGATTGAGCCACCTGGGAAGCGCTTTTATTAAAACTCATAAATGATTTTAATTGCCCCCTCCCAGTTGCATTTTTATGATGAGATCTCATCGATGTGCTGTCAATGCATAACTTACAATTGTTACTAAACATTTGGGTCATACAATATTTTAAAGCTTGAAATTAGTTGGACATTAGAAATAGTATGAAATAATGATGTAAAACTGAAAAATGTAAATAGCTTAACTTGTTATTTAATATTCAGCATTATTTTAGTGCATATTCCCCCCCCCAATAACAATGTCTACAGTGTATTACAATGTATTACAATGTATTACAGTGTAACTTTAAAAATGTGTTTGGACATTTGGACTTTTCAGAATTGTTCCTACTTCTTTCCCTCATCTAACTAACCTTTTTTACTTCCAAAATATAAAGGCTCTATTTCTAGTTAAAAGAAAAAAGCACTAGTTAATGTCAAAATTAGTACCTAATTATACTGTTCAGTATTATAAAAGAAAGTTTTCATTCTTTTTGTTTTCATCTTTCCTACAAATACAAGATAGATGGTAGTTTTAGACAACATTTACTGTAGTAAACATATTGACTTTGTCTCTGAAAATTTCTAACCAGTAGGAGTTGAAGATGCAGTGGGTGAAATGTGGATTTTATTACTGGTGCGTATGGATAGGTTACCCCTTCTCAGCCTGAAAACATAGGAAAATTACCTCACACAGTGTCTTGCCCTTAGTTGCCACTAGGTAAATATTAGACTTAACCTGAATCCCTGTGTTTCTTAGAAAATATATTGGCCAACTGAATGATGAATGTGAAACACTTTATAAACTGAAAAATACCATGCAAATGTTTGTATAGTTGACTTCTAGAGAATACTTTGGAAAAACAACTGACAGCTTGGCCCAGAACACAGGTGTTAGCTTAATGTGCAGACTTTGGCTCCCTGATGCAAAAAACCAACTCATTGAAAAAGACCCTGATGCTGGGAAAGATTGAAGGTGGGAGGAGAAGGGAACGACAGAGAATGAGATTGTTGGATGGCATCACCGATGCGATGGATGTGAGTTTAAGTAGACTCTGGGAGTTGGTGATGGACGGGGAAGCCTGGTATCCTGAAGTCCATGGGGTCGCAAAGAGTTGGACATAACTGAGCGACTAAACTGAACTGACAGGCACTGTGGTAATGTGAAGGACAGCTTTTCACAGTGCAGTTAGAGTCATGTCAAAGTTCTTTTATATACAAAGTTACTAATTTTTATTACTGTAATACTGATTGAACTCATATTGTTTATGAGCTACCATCTTTTCTGTCGATGCGTGATACAGGGTGCTCAGGGCTGGTGCACTGGGATGACCCAGAGGGATGGGATGGGGAGGGAGGTGGGAGGGGGGTTCAGGATGGGGGACACATGTACACCCATGGCTGATTCATGTCAATGTATGACAAAAACCACCACAATATTGTTAATAGCCTCCAACTAAAATTAAAAAAAAGAAAGAGGAAGTATAAAATACAGTTCTTGTACTCAAGGCACTTACAGAAATATCTATGACGGTGGAAATGTTCTTAATCTGTCCTGTCCAAATCGTAGCCACTAGCCATATATAGCTGTTGAGTGCTTGAAATGTGGCTAGTGTGAAAGAAGAACTAAAATTTATGTTTTATTTAATTTTGATTGATTCATATATAATGGGCACATTTACCTGGTGACTACTGTATTGCACAGTGCAAGTCTAGATGGAGACCTAAGACTGACCTTGTTCTTCATGTTTAGACAGCTTCTCTTTTCTCTACTTTTCAGAAACATCACTTAAGCTGGAATAGGTTCAGTTATTTATAAAAGTAGTAATTACCAGCTTCCTATTGGGGAGGGAAGGGTAGTCCCCAAATATTAAAACTGGACCGTATGATGTGGAGTGACTAAGCCACAAGCACTGTGACCTTCGGTAATCAATCACCTACCTTAGTGGATCTGTTTCCTCATCTGACAAAATGAGAGACTGGAGGAATGAAGCCCCTTCCAATTTCAGAATGATTCTGGAATTCTAAAGTGTCTGAAAAAAAGTGGACTGTGACCTAAGGGACTAGACATAGGAGAAGTCTGAAGTCAAACACACTGTTATTTGCAATCCTACTGACCTACCTATCCTTATAAAGTGCATGTTATATTTTTAGGAAGCAGCATAGCACTGTATCTTAGGATCAAATAACTTGACAAAGGCTTATTAGTTTTCTTTGCTTTAGCTTCCTATTATCCGCTATCCAATGAACTTTTCTGGTTGACTTCAGGCTCTTAACTGAATTAATAATAATATACTTCATCTTTGCCTGATACTTTGTAGCTTACCACATCCTTTACATTGTATTACTTGCTTTTCATAAGTGGCAGGGAAAGGGTTGTCATTCCTGTATTTCAGATGAGGATACTGATGGCAAGTGCCTAGTCAAGTCTGCATTGATCAGAGGTAGAATGGAGGAGACTAACTAGAATCCTGGACCTTAGAAGACTGATTGCTTTTGTCTGTGCATCCTACTACCTCTCTTTTATTGTTTTTATCCCCATCTCCCAACGCCCGCCCTAAGTGCTTTGTATTCCCTGATACAACCATTTTCATTCTCTTTGCATGAGAATAGTTTTTGGGTTTCTAGGTTATAAAATTTGAAAGCTGGATGAAACCTAGCAGCCCATTTTCCTTATTTAGAAATATAATGTAATCCTTCCATTTTACCAATGAAAAAAAAAAAAAATGAAGGTCTTCTGGGGCCAAATGATAGGAGGTAGAGATAGAGATAGTGATATACAGAGAGAGATGTATTTATATCATACTGACAGAGCTAGGATTCGGACCTGCATTAGAAGGAAGCCAGAGGTAGTGTTCTTTTGGAGACTCAAGAAGCAATAGTCTTTGAAAACTGTGTATTCGAATATAACACTGAAGTGTACTGATAATCAGCATTTCACTAGCAGTTATTGGCCACCTGCTATATCCAAGGCATTCTTGTTTTGTAAAATTATTTCTTGGAAGAATAGTAGCCAGACTAAAGAAATGTGTTTTTTATTTGTGCAAATGGTTCTGTACTTTCATTTAGGTACCAGATTATTAGTTGTGCATTTTTTGTTTGGTGTCATGAACAAGGCAGGTTTTTACATTGTGAATTTAAGTAAAAAATACTCCCCCAAAATGGACTGTACCCAGAAGCTAGAGTTCTTTTATTCTTGTTACTCTAACATTCATATTGACTTTTGCAGGTTTTTAAGTGTTGTAGGTGGTTGTTCGATCTCAGAAAACAGACTTCTTGAAATAATTACCATGAGTTTATTATTTTCTTTACTGTAATTCTAGTTGTTTTTTAAAAAAATATTTTACATTGTAACACCTGAACCCCAGAAAATATCAGCAATTCATACATGTATTTAGTCAGTTATAGATCATGTGGCTAGTTATCCTAATAGTGAGTTAGCTTAGATTTCATATCATCAAATACAAAAATATATTTAGAAATACTGGACATTGGCCTTAGATGCCCTCAGTATTATTCCCCCATTCTTCCTAAGAACCTTATCTATATTACTGGAATGGCAAAGTGTGTTAACATTTTATTACAGATATTGACACAACTCCACAGCAAAACCATCAGCTTTGTGTGGTCTGTGACCACCTTATTTTATTCATTTTTTGCATTTTCAGAACCTAATGCAGTATCCAATTCATTGTAGTATTCAGAAGATGTTTAGGTAATATTGGCATGGCCTACCAAAACACCCTGAATCAGCTGAGTCAGTTGTCAGGACAAAAAGCCTTAGGTCCCAAAGTTTTCTTGGGAGTTAGATCAGCTTGAAAGAATAGTTAGTGACTTGCAACCCCTAGCACACCCTCTTTTATTGATATATCTCTGCGTCACTAAAGAAGTGATCAGTAGAAAGTAGGTTACTTCTGAGCCATGCAGTTAAGAGTTTCCAGGACGGATTTTATTTTAGTTCCACAGCCTCCTACCAGCTTGTGATGGTGACCTAACCAAAAAAAAGGAGTCTTGTCTTATAATCTGTAATTGAACAAGTTTCCTCTTTGCATCTGTCAGCCAACACACTTTTGGCAGAGGAAGCCAAGAGCATGATAGATAATGTCACACACAAGCTGTGAAAACCAGTTCTTTATTCTGTTTTTTTAAAAAGACATTAAAAGAAAATTTGCTTAGACACTCTAAAAATATTTATGTCAACTGCTCTTGTTAAAAGGCTTCTTGTTATTCAGTTATTCATTAATTAAGGGGAAAACATACTGTTTGAGAAAGGATGTTTCACATAGATGAGAACTGTAAATTCTATATAGTTGAAAGGCATGTGTACAAGTTTTACAAAAACATTTTGGTGTTTGTTGGTTCATTTACTGTGTAAGTCAACGGCCCTATGTATTGTTTTTTTTCTCACTTTAAATCAAATTTTTAAAAATTTATTTATTTTTTAGCTGAAGGATAATTGCTTTACAGAATTTTGTTGTTTTCTGCTAAACATCAACATGAATCAGCCAAAGGTATACATATGTCCCCTCCCTCTTGTCTATTAAATCTCTTCCTATAATGTAAATTTTCAGCTTGAGGTGAATTAAGGGATTTAGAGGCTACCATAGATGAAAATGATGAAATCTTGAAATGTATTTTGTGTTTTAACATATATTAGCATTTTTTTTTAATTTTAGGAGACAAAAAATGGCTCACAGTCTCACTGATAGTATAATTTTATTAGCAATTTGGTCTACATATATTTATTAGCAGGCAAGCATAAATACATTTTGACATTTTTTAAAAAACAAAGCTAATATGTACAAATAATTAGAGAATTTAAACTGTATAAAAATAAAACCCTCTTCCCCAAAGATTCTTGGTATCCTTCCAAGAAAATTTTTAATGCAACTCTGTATCTTTTTAAAAGATTATACAAAGGAAAAATTTTAATGCAACTCTGTGTCTTTTTAAAAGGGCTTTGTGCTATACACTGTGTTTGGTGTTTTGCTTTTTTTGTTTCATGTATCTTGGCACCCTTTCCATACCAGCATATGCAGATTTACCTCTTTTTTTTTTTTTTAACAGCTATATCACATGGATGGCCCACATTTATTTTACCAGTCTTAAATTGTTTGATACACGTTTATAGAGTATTAACAGTTTTATTGCAATGTTGCCATGAATATCCAATGAATTCCTATATCTTGGCATAGGATAATTTTTGACCGGTAGAATTGCTGTGTCAAAGTGTATATGTACTTACAAAATTGACAGACATTTTCAAATCTCTATTCAAAGATAAGACCAGTTTTCATTCCTGTCACCACAAGTACAAATACTATTTTTTCCATGTTCTTGTCAGTATTAGAAAACTTTTAAATTCTACCAATCCAGTGGGTGAGCTGAATATTTGTAAGAAAAGGAAATATGTGTGGTTTTTTAATACCCTGTGGGATTTGAAAATTTTTTTTAAGCTGGTATTCTTACCTTTAACTCTTTTTATGTTTTACATATTAAGAGATGAAATTGGCCTGATCCCATGTCCTGAAGCTAGGTATAACCGGAGTCCCATAGTCCTGGTTGAAAACAAACTTGGTGTGGAGAGCTGGTGTGTCAAGTTCCTTTTACCATATGTCCACAACAAGCTCCTTTTGTACAGAACGAGAAAGCAGTGGCTGAACAAAGATGGTGAGTATGGAGACTGTCCTTTTTCTTTGATTTTTTTCATAAGCAGCATGAAGTATAGTAGGAAGAACCCTCTGTGATATTGACATTCCTGGATTCTAGTTCTGGCTTTTTCTTTCATTGACTGGGCAGGCTCTTAACTCTCCGTCAAATGAGTTTGGACGCATCAGTCATTTTCTAATTTTGCATCCATTGTGATTCTCTGGAAGGTGCTTCAACCATGGTGCCAGGTTCCCTACTTCTGATATTTTTTAAATGTACTAGGGTCATTTGTAAGGTATTTGAAGAAAATATCTTATGACTAAAAAAGGTTTGAAAATTTGTGAAGTGCACTCTAGTCCCTACAAGCTCTGTTTCTTTGATTTCTAATCCTTAAGTAAGTTATGAGCAACAAAGCTCATTTCGTAACAGCTCATATGAGATAACCAAGGTTTGATGGTAACACCACTGTCTGTGAAGCAGCTCAGTGGTTTATGGTGGTGCTGTTGTACTGTGATCCCAGTGAAGCTCTCGCCCTCCGTGTCCTGTTCTGTGCTGAAATGAGCAAAAGAAAACCATCCCAGCCTTCTTTTTTTCTGCTTCTCTGCAGAGAAACTTACTTGCTGCATCAGACAATTCCTGTTCATCCCACCTGGTATCTTTTCCTTGTTTTCCCCCTGTGTCTGATAAGTCGCTTCAGTCGTGTCTGACTCTGCGACCCTATGAACTGTAGCCCACCAGGCTCCTCTGTCCATGGGATTCTCCAGGCAAGAATACTGGAGTGGGATGCCATTTCCTTCTCCAGATGCTGCTAAGCCTCCATGTACACATTCTGTTTATATTTTAGGTAAAAGAGAGACCTGAGTTCTCACTTTTTTGGAGTATACTCATCCAAGATAATATTCTTGACGATTTCTATAAAGCTCCTTTCCCTTCCCACATACACCAGTACCTTAAATGTCTCAGTATGCCTGGTGGCTAATTTTGAGTAAGAACTGTGTTACTTAGAGAATTTTAATTATAAGTTCAGTAGCCATTACTACGAGCCTACTCATACCAGAGGCTGCTCTAAGTACTGTGGAGGATAAAAAAATGCATAATACATGTTTCCTTTACTCAGAAAGCTTCTAGTTGAGTCAAAAACAATCTCTTTGTAGAGGATAGTGTTGCCTTAAGTGACATATTGATTTCCTTGTGTTCCTCTTGGCATTGTCCTTAATGTATTGTCATTACAGGTTATTAGCACTTTTAGACCAGTAGAAAAAAGAATCTGATTTGAAGATTTAATGTGAAATATTTTCTACTTCCTGTGTTTCAATCAATTAGTCCACTGATATTTATTTATTAATTATAAGGCTATGTCTAATTTTATTAAGTTTATGGCAAAAATTTAAAGGCATAGGTCAGGCATAAATTTAAAGGGAAGACATTGATCTGTTGTTAGATCCCTTTTCATTCTCCATTACTTTATTGTAGTTTTCAGTGACATTAAGTTACAAAGTAGCACCATGTGAATCCATGAAGTTGTCGCTATTATTTTGCCTAACAGAGCTATATTGTATATATTCTGGCACACAGAAATGTATAATTGAGCCAATATATAACTAATTCTGTGTGGGGAAGACAAATGATCTTGTGTAGAAGAAACAGTATGAATTTTTAGTGTCAAAGGCTGTTGTTTCAGATCATCAGCTTTTGCTCCTTGACGTGTGCTAGCCGAACCTGCCTTCTTCCTGTAGTCTTCCAAGTTCTTGTCTCTATTTCCCTGTTTCTTGTCTTTCTGGGCGGTGCTCTGTAGGCTTTGCTAAATCATCTCATCATGTAATTTTATCTTGATCGACCCAGGAGAACGCAGGTAGAAGATCAAATGGTTAAGGTCACTCACATGAATAGCTGACATCTAAGCTTTGAATTCTGATCGCAACTGTGTGTGTATACAGGAGCAACCTGATTTTATCCTAACCGGTATCCTCATGGAAGTAGTTTTCAGTTTCACTTTTTGGGGAGCAGGGACAGCATGGTTCAGTGAGGTGTCATATACTACTTAGGTTGTATAGTGTATTGGTAAAAATATGGAAGTGAGTTTCTGATTGACCAGAAAAGATACCTGAAAATGCAAACTGACTAACATAGAAATACTCTGCTAAACTTGGGAACTGAAGATCACAGTAGTGAATTTTACTAAGGAAAAAAGTTAAAAGTATTAGGAAAAATCAGTTGTTTCATGAAAATGCTATACTTTAAAAACTGTTTTTGTAGAAATACATGTTTAAGAGCCATGTGAAGAAAGCTGACAATTTTAAAAGTTTCAGAAATGTCAGTGTCTGTGTGATTGATCATGCCAAAATCCTAGGCATTCCCCTAAGAATATAATCTTTAACTGCAGGTGACCTTTATTCTGGAGATATAAGTTTTTCCTTTTATCCAAACTGAATTCATGTTCTCATTAATGTGCTGAATTCCTTAGATGTTTGGAAATCATCTGTATTAGTCAGAATTCTCCATAGCAACAACCAATAGAAAAGTTTTTACATATATGTAAAGTTTTATATGTACAAAAAACAAGATTCGTTATGACAAATTGGCTCACATGATTATGGAGGCTGAGAAGTCCCACATTCAGCTTTCTGCAAGCTAGAGACCCAGAAAAGCTGGTGATTTAATTCTTTGAGTTGAAGGACTGAGAAGCAGGGAATCCAGTGGTTTAAATCTTAGTCTGACAGCTGGAGAGGATAAGATGAGGTGTCCTATCTCAGGCAGACAGAGAAGAAGCAAAACAGGGCTGAATTCTTCTGTTTTCCTCCTTCTGTTCTATTCAGAAACCCCAACAGATTGATGTTCACCCACAGTGGGAGGGCTGTCTACTGAGTCTGCAGATTCAAATGTTAATCTCATCTAGAAACACCCTCACACTGATGCGTTCAGAAATCATGTTTAATAATCTTCAATCTGTGCACCCCAGTCACATTTAACCCTAGTTTAACCAAAACTAACCATCACAACCTCCCTGATTAATAACTTAGAAACTAATATTTTTAAAAAGTCTGCTGCAGTAATAGCCATGTTTGGTTTGGGAGAGGTGAAGTACTGTAATTCTAATTAATGAAAACTCCACGACAGAAACAGAAAGCAAGGGAGCAGTCGATAGCGTTGGAGTTCTGACCTGGTAGTCCCATACTCTATCCCCAAGTCACCCCTTCTGTCATCTTTTGCTCTTTCCTCTTTCTCACAACCCCTGCTGTCAGTTCATCATTGAGCTCTCTCTTAGCCCTTCACTTCTTTTTTTCTTTTTTCAATTTATTTTTAATTGAAGGATAATTGCTTTACAGTATTGTGTTGGTGTCTGCTATATATCAGCGTAAATCAGCCATAGGTATACATAGGTCCCCTCTCTCTTGAACCTACCTCTCACCACATCCCACCCCTATAGGTTGTCACAGAGCATGCATTTCATCCCTTCACTTATTTCTCATCTGGACAAATATTATCACCTCATGGCTCGTCTACCCCATTTTTAGTCTCTCTTTAATCCATGTTCATCATACCATTAATGAGTCACTTTAAACAACACTTCTTAGAAACAGTTTGAAAGATTCTTTTCTGAAATATCTATCTTCTTATTTCTTAATGTCTTCAGGGTTAAGGTTGAGTCATTCTCTGTGGCATAGTATTCAAGGGCCTTCACAAACTGTCTGTAGGCTACATCCCCAGCTTTTTCCTCTACTTTATAGTCAGCATCAGAGGTTGTAGGCTCTCAATCCCCCCAGGCTGAAGCTAACCCACATGTTTATTTAGTTTCAGCTTATATAATGTTGTTAAATTTTAAAAAATTAATTGGATAAACATTCTAAGTTATGATGAACTTTTAAAATTAGGATGGAAATCTGGATTTCTCTCTTCACTTGAAACATCAGAAGCATTGGGTGTGTCCATTTCTACATAGCAGCGGTTGGTTGGGAATCATTTGTTGTTGTTTAGTCACCCAGTTGTGTCCAACTTTTTGCAAGCCCATGGACTGCAGCATGCCAGGCCTCCCTGTCCCTCACCATCTCCTGAAGTTTGCCCAAGTTCATGTCCATTGCATTGGTGATGCCATCCAGCCATCTCCTCTCATGCCCTCTTCTCCTTCAGCCCTCAATCTTTCACAGCATCAGGGACTTTTCCAATGAGTCAGCTGTTTGAACCAGATGACCAAAATACTGGAGTTTCAGCTTCAGCATCAGTCCTTCCAATGAGTGTTCAGGTTTTATTTTCCTTAAAATTGACTGGTTTGATCTCCTTGCTGTGCAAAGGACTCTCGGGAGTCTTCTCCAGCACCACAGTTCAAAGGCATCAATTCTTCAGCACTCTGCTTTCTTTACAGTCCAGCTCTCACAACTGTATGTGACCACTGGAAGGACCATAGCCTTGGCTATACGGACCTTTGTCGGCATCATGGCTTCTGCTTTTCTTGACAAGACAAGCCTATTCCAGTTGACCACAACCTCCCATGTCCCTCAGATACTGAGGCAGTATCATTACTACTTACTTGATTTGCTTTGCTTCTTTTTTGCCATATATTTGAACCCTAGAAACATTTGAATTTGCAGCTATTTGATACACATTTCAGCCATAGCAAACACTGTTCCATTCTTGGACTTTGCTGTGTACCACTGCCTTAACTCCATGCCTTTGCAGAGGTCAGGTTCAAGTCTAATGTTGTTATTATTGTTGTGTTTGCTAATACACACACATGTGAAGCATCTTGACTACTCCAGGAAACAATAATTGCTCCTCTGCACTCCTGTGGGAGTCCTTATTCATAAGGAATTCATAGTAGAACGTGTCACACTCTATTGTAGTTGGTTATTTAAACAGTGTTTTTCCCAGCTAGGTTGTGAGTTTGTTAGAAAGAAGGGTTATGGCTTGTCTTTATTTATTTAGCACTGTTAATGTAGCTGGAATCAAGATTGCTGGGAGAAATATCAATAACCTCAGCTATGCAGATGACACCACCCTTATGGCAGAAAGTGAAGAAGAACTAA